ACTAACTGTCCCAGTGTTCACTTAGTGTCCACACTACACTAGTGTCCCCACTATTCTGCAATCGGACTTCACTTTGCAGTCCTCGAATTATATATCACTTCTGACACCAATGTCACGACTCTGGCTTGCGTGATGGATATCTTGGGTCCGTTTATTCCAAAATCAAAGTTCAATTGACACAACAATAATTTATTCCACGGTACTACACACTCTGTCTGATACTAATTACTCCACTAATTAACTCCAACAACTTGACTCTTTACAACTTTTACAATAATCACTATCTAAAACGTATCACAGCCAAACTTAAACTAAAACTACTTAATACCGGCCTTTATATATCCGTAAAGGATTTTCTCGTTTTAATTCTATAACTATTGAAGATAAATCGAGAGATAAACACATCAAACCCAAGATCAAACCGCATGCCGTTGAAATCAGGTTAAAGGGGACTGATTGGTAAGCGCACAATATACATGGTATTTCATTTTAAAAAAATATAACTTCGCTCTGCTTCACTTTTTTGACGCATCCTGTATGCTTCAAACTGACTTAATTGACAATTTCTCAAAACTTTCGTATTTGACACTATGTACTTCTACTTCTATCAAAAACGTCAAATGGAAAACTTAGGAAGGGGTGACATTTATAATAGATCACCCTGTACCTACTTCAATACTCCACCCCTTAGAATGGATTACACTTTATTGCGGAATTTGGAATATGGGTAATTATAATGTGTTAGAAGTTAGTTTCATATTCATATTCAGATACATGTACAGGGTATCTCGAATTCGAGGGTGAGCATTGAGATATCGGAAACTATAAGAGATACGAGGTCGGTTAAATTATGGCAAAGTTGCGCAATTTTATGACCAATAAAATGCCGTTTTGAAATTTGAAAAACTCCGAATACTTCCGAAGATATTCGGAGAAAATCGAAATTTTGTAAAATTATTTTTATTTTTTCCTAAGTCTATTTGAAGAGTAATTTTAAAATAAATGTCACATCAGCGCTGTCACTTTTTCTCCTCTACAAGATGCTACCATCAAATTTAAAATCTGGCGTTTCGTCTTTGGGCCACCATCATCAACTTCAGTTTTTAAAATACGGACCCTTATTTTTTATTTCAGATTTTATTGTCCAAAAACCTAAGATGTCCCAAAACCTATGACGTATCACATTTATTCGAAAAATTTATATTATTTCCATATTCCATAAGAACTAAATGTGTTAGAGAGAGACAGAGAGCAGAATTTCCGTAGGAAATTACTAAACAGTAAAAATAGTATATTACAATCCGAGACGGGAAATGCTTCATTGCTGATCGAGAGGTTATACAGGGTGTCCCAGAATATGTGGGCAATCTCTCGGATTCAGATAGAACTCAGAAAAATAACATGACAACTTCCTATAAAAAAAAATTCCTACGCCCCCCCCTACGAAGTTACGTACCCCTAAAGGACGCCTCTGAAAATCGTTTTTTTGTTGATAACTTTCAAAATACTTCGTGTAATTTTTTTTCTTTTAATATGATGCGAGATATGATGGATATAAAATGAACCCTCTCAAACACACTTGACCAATCTAGTTTGCCAGGGACGGACTAGCTCTAAAGTAATAATGACACTGACTGAGGAAATATTAGTAGAAAGGAATAATTTTCACTGTCGAAAAAAAAAATAAATTCGTGACAACCAAATAAATGAGGTCGGGAAATGAGGACGGGGAATGAGGACGGGGAATGAGGACGGGAAATATTTCTCTGCTCCATTTTCCGTCCGTGGACGAGAAATGAGGACGGAAAAAATTTCCGGTCCTCATTTCCCGACCTGGGACAGGTAATGGACCAGGAAAATGAAAAAACAGAAATGTGACATTTTCAAATTTTTGAAAAGTCAGTAATGACAACATTTCATATATGGTTAAAAATAAAAATATTTTTTCGAATAATTGCGATGCGACGTAGGTTTTGGGACATCAGCAGAATCTTCTAAAATCTGAAATAAAAAATCCAGGGTCATATTAAAAAAAAACCAGATGTCAAATTTTTGACATAACGCTTCCTAGACAAATAACTACCTAATTATTTTTTTTTTGTATTTTTTATTTATTTTTTTTTTTTTTTTGTATTATATAAAGCAAAATGAGCTCTAACCAATCAATGAAAAAAAAGATGGCGTTCCCATTTAAAAAAAAGATCAATAACGTCATATCTTGAAGAGGAATTATTTTTTTTCCTATATCTCTGCGTAACTTCTCCCTACACGTCTTCTTATACCTATTTCCAAAATTTCATCAAATTCCATCGAGCCGTTTTCTCAGAAAAATGCCAACACACACACACCACCGGCGTATCCAGCCCATGCGTCTGGGGGAGGGGGTAATCAGCCCATTTTTCCCCGGGTGCCACGCCCAAAAACGTTTACTTTGAGCCTTCAAAAATATTTTTTTCTACGAGAGTGAGGACAATTAAACAGTGCGGAAAATCGATTTTCTCGCACGGTGCGGCGAATTTTTTTCCGCACGGATATCGGTGCGGAAAAATTTAAATCTTTTCCGCATGGCTGTCAAAAAAAAAATCAATAAATGACTACTAATTATGTAGGTATATGCAAGGCAGTGTTGTCAATCTGAATTTGTGAAATTGCACGATATGCTGGTAAAATTACACGTTTTTACACGCTTTCATTTTTCACAATTACACGATTTTGACACACGATCTTGGTACCCAATCTGTAACATCAAGAAGCAAGTATTTTTTTTTTGTGATTTTGGGAAATGGGTTAAATCGTAATGCCCGATTGCACCGTCTCTCTTAACCGAGGCTTAGAGATAACTATTCCTTAAAGTGACATTTTCCCATTCAAAACTGTCAATTTAAGGGATAGTTATCGTTAAGCCTCAGTTAAGAATGATGGTGCAATCGGGCATAAATCCAGTCAAATCTGAGGGTTAATGCTCCTGATCATAATTCCTCAACGAAAAATAAAAATGTGGCAACTACAGAAAAGCGTTCCGAAAGTAATCGAATTACTAATTACCGGTTCCTGGAAAAGAGGTTACTTTTGGACCTCAGTTTCCTGCAAGGATACTACACACTACTACTATAGGATAGTCTATCCTCATAAGGCCTGTGTAGTTCAATCTGAAGCCGCCGCTGCCATGCCAAAATATCAGTGATGACGTAGACAGCGTGTCGTTTCTCGTCTTCACGTAGGGTGTTTGTACCACAGGTTATGATTCCGCGGGCTTTTCCTTTATGCAAAACTTGGTTTCACTACATTAATTAATATTCTGAAACAACTCTTTCTCGTTTTTGGTAATCGCCGCCATATTGGTTTTTAACTGTTTTCAACCATTGTCGACGTCATAACTAAGTTTTCAGCTGTTTAAACAGCCTACGTCAAGGCGAGAAACGCCATGCTGCTTCACAACTGGTTGTTTGGCTAAGGGGGGTAGAGGGGGATTTTTTACAAACAGGCCTTATGAGGATAAGCCATCCTGTAGTAGTAGTAGTGTGTATCATCCTTGGGTATATGTACCTACTTATTTCCGCACGTCTGTAAAAAAACTATTGTACCTAACACATGCGGAAAATCTGTCTTCCGAACTTGGCTGCTTCACCGAATTCCGCTACGCGTCTTTGGGTGAACGACAGACTCGTGCGGAAAAATTCATTTTTCGCACTTGTTAGGTAAATATATTCTGTACTACCAACAAATAACGAAACCGAACTCTGATAGCGAATTCCATTGGAATAAAGGTTAGTGCGCACCGAGTGTATTCGTATCTTATTCTACCAGCTTATATAAGAAAGAGATAAAAATACACTCTTTCGCACTGATTTTACCAATGGAATTCGCTATGAGAATCGCCTAAAACTTTTCAATTATAGGCATAGCGAATTCTATTGGTAGGATTAATACAAAAAAATTATTTATCTCTTTCTTATGCAAGCTAGTAGAGAAAGATATGAATACACTCAGTGTGCACTATCCCTTTGAATAGAATTCGCTATAAATGGCATGCGGGCAGTGCGGACACTGTGCAAACTAGAAAACAAGTTAGGGCCAGTTGCTGAAAAGTAAAAATATAAAAAATAGATTTATTTGTAAGGTGTAGGGTACCCCCATTACCCCCCCCCCTTGTATACGCCGGTGACACACACATACATACACACACACACACAGACGGAAATGTGCCACCTTGTCAAAAAGGCTTAAAATGATCCAAAACGTCAAGATCTAATGAAATTTTGACATGGTCAAAATCGGGCTATCACCATAGCTTCCTATCTAGGAAGCTAATAAAGTTGATGATGGCCGCCCAAAGGTGAAATGTCGAATCTAAAATTTGGTAGCAACATCTTGTAAACGAGAAAAAGTGACAACGATGAAGTGAAATTTATTTTAAAATTGCTCTTCAAATAGACTCAGGAAAAAATAAAAATGATTTTGCAAAATTTCGGTTTTCTCCGAATATCTTCGGAAGTATTCGGAATTTTTCAAATTTCAAAACGGCTTTTTATTGGTCATAATGGTCATAAAATTGCGCAACTTTGCCATAATTCAACCATCCTCGTATCCCTAATAGTTTCAGATATCTCAATGGTCACCCTCGAATTTGGGAGACCCTGTATATTACAGTCGACCAGATATTTACTGAAAAAAAAATAATTGAAAAACCGAAAAAAAAAAAATAATAATATTATCATATTATGTAGGGAATTTCTGGAATTCGGAAAGGGTAGAAATAACCCTTAAGCACATTTTATAATATTTTCAGTCAAGTTAAGTCTGGATAGTTACTACGGGGGAGAGTTGATTGGAAATTCATGAATTTTGGAATTTGAGACCCTTCAGTACATTTGATGGAATTTTCACCAGATAATACTAAAAACATAATTATTGCGATTGATGTTTATTTTTTTTTCGATTCTATATGACGTGGTGTCGTTTCATAATAGTATCACAGAAGAGTTAATTTTTAATTTCAGTTCAGAAGAACATGAATACCTAATGTTCCTCCTTAGAATAACCGAAGAAATTATTTCCAATGAATGTTATTCAAACGCCGACATCAAAAGAATTTTTCAGGCTAATGTGGAATTGAATAAAAATAGATTGAACTTGGTAATACAAAACCTATAAAAAATTAGTTTTTCTTAAATTCACGTTTATTTTACAGAGAAAAATGCATATTCACATATACAACCTATGCAGAGAACTTAACATTGAATGTGAACAATATTTTAATGAAAATAATCTAGGAGATCTCGATGCGTCAGATTCCCCCCCATGGAATTTCCAGACCTCTACAAAAAGCCATCATTTCGTGATGAGCGATTTGGTTAAAAATTGCCAGGATTGTTCAGTTATAAGAAAGTCTTCCTTGAAGCAAAATGATGTCTATATTTCAGATGACATTCATATGGGAAATATTGGTGATGGAGAACCTTCATATAGTGATAGTATACAGAAGCTGCTAGGTAAATTAAGCCTAGGTAAGATGAATTAAAATTATTTGTTTTTATATTATACCTATATTTTGAAGGAAGAGTCACTGAATGTACTGAGCCAGCTTCGAGTACAATGAGCTCATCTCATCCTAATCATCCTATTGTAACAAATGTCACCGAAACCCAAGACATTGATAATTTTGAAACATTTATGGAAGCGATAGATTCAGACAGGTCACTTCCTAATGAGCTACTTGGATTTGGTGAAACAGCAGAACAAGCAAATAAAGAAAGTACTTCAATTTCTTTAATAAATCTCAGAGAATCTGCTATAAATCAAGATGCACAAATAGCTAATAGTAAATCATGTGTCGAATTTATCAAAAATGAAACTATTGATAACGTTCCTGAAAAACAAGATGTTGAAAGTGTAAACAAATTCGAAAAAAATGAAGTGGAAGAAATAGATGAAGATATACCAGCAACAACAAAATCAAATAAAATTAGTTCAAATTCTAGCAAAATTCCTGTTTTAATCACACAATCAGAAGAAAATTTGGTTGCAGAACTGTTACAGAGTAAATCAACTTTCCAAATCGCAGACTCAAAAATAGCTCAGACCAAATCAACTCCTGTAATAAATCCAGACTTTGTAAAAACTCCAACTAAATCAACTATTGGCACAAATACGGACTTGGAAAAAAATTCAACTAAAAAAACTCTTGAAATGAAAGACTTTGAATCAATTCCAGTTAAACATAGTATTGGAATAAACACAAACCTTGAAAAACCTCAAACTAGTGCCGCTCTTGGAATAAATACAGATTCTGAAATCAAATCTCCAAAAAGTACTGAAATTATTGAATCTTCTATGTCAAAAAAAACATCATTGTTATCAAAAGCTTCAAACATTGTTAACAAATCGGAAAAAAATGTCCCCGAAAGTCCGATCAAAATAACGTTACAGGGTAGTCCTAATCAAGAAGATTTCATCATGATCAAAGGCCCTGTCTACATTTACAAACCTTTACTAGAATCAGAACCAAAAATGATCATTTTCGAAAATAATGAAAATTCAAAATCACGAAGATCTTCCATAGACAGTCAACGTAGTCACAGAACATTTACAGTTGATAACAGTCATATATTTGATCCTGTAGACCAAGAAATAAATGAAACATTAACAGCAAAATCAAGGGAATCGGTACAAACCATTTTAGCGGTAAATAAGACTGCCTTTCTTAGTCAAAATCTTTTAAATTCAGATTATGATTTGACTCCAGAAAAAGATGATTGCGAGAATAAATATCATTATTTGATGGTTGATGCACAAACCAGCCTTTCTGGAGTAAATTTACCTGAAAGTTTGCTACTAAACGACGAATATTTAGTTAAAGAAACTTCAAGCTCAGAAGACAATTATTATGTAAATTTTGATTCGAAAATGTTGGAAAATAATTATGTTATTCATAGAAAACTGATGTCGAGCATCAGTATGCCTAAGTTAATGCTGAACAGTTCCAGATTGATAAATGAAAGAGGTTCAAACAGTGAAAATAGCGGGGAATTGGACAAATTGAAAAAATGCGCTAGTGATTTGATGACGTTTGATGTGCCGAGTCAGGATTCTTCTTTAAGGTAATTTCTCGAGTAGGTAAAATATAATTTTCCAACAATGAACAATGATTTTTAGATCGGAAGGTGAAGCTACACAAAACTTTGCTAGTGGGATTTTTTGGAGAAAGTTTTGAAAAATTAAAAGAATAAAAATTTATCAAATTTAAATTATCTTGTCTTTTTTTTTTTAATATGTTAGTATTTCGATCATTGCATGTTCAGTTAATTTTATTTTATTTTACCTAGGTATAATGTCCTATACTTGAATTGTTTCGAAAATCCAAAAATGCAATAATTATACAGGCAAATCCATTTGGTTTCTGGTAGAACTTGCATTGCTGCAGTTATGGAAATATTTTTTTTTTTTTAAATAGGCCTTGATCTATTATAGCAGTATACCAAATTTGAGAAATGTATCTTTTTCAGTTCTCAATTAAACGCCTAAAAAATGGGCAATTAGGCATTCCAACGACCTCTGTCTAAAATATTCCAAAATGACGTCGTAGGCGGAAGTTCATTATCGTGTATATGAGAGTACAGAATTTAAGTGATTGTTTTGTGACGGAACCGGGTTTTTTTATCCATTTTTTATTTTATTGATTTCATAAGTGTTTTTTCCAGTAGTAATATAACTAGTGCGTAAAATATTTCCGGAAATTTTTGAAAATTTTGCCTGAAGCCAATTTTTTAACAAAATCATGAGTGCATAGCGCCTGAAAAAATCCCCAACCCGAAGGGTGAGGGATTTTTTTTTCTTTGACGCTATGCACGAATGGTTTTGTTTAAAAAAATTGACTAAAGACGAAATTTTTAAAAATTTCCTTCAGGAAATATTTTATGCACGTGTTATATTTTGATAGGAAATTTTCCGAGTTTGAAGTTTATTTACTATAAGTTGTTTCGAATATTTTAAATATGATGATATGTTCTGTGATGGTGATTTTTATTGATCTTCCCTATTTAAATTGCGTTTGTCAAAAAATATACACTTTGACAGATTTCTGACATCAATAGGTTTCGTGCAGCACGTGACCTGTCAACTACCCTGGAGGTACAATAACCCAACATTTGTATGTTGTTTTCATTGTAAATTTATTGTTTTAAAATTTGTTTTCACTTTTACTCGCTAATTAGGGAGTAATTTGAAATGGTAAACCCTTGAAATTAAACAGTAATCGTTTATTAAGTTTGTTGAAAGTGTATTTCAAGATCCCACAAGCTAAACTTTTGTAAAAATGCCCTCATACTGTGCTGTTGTAAAATGCAATAGCAATGCAGCCAAAACAATAGGTATAAAGTATTTCAGGTGAGTAATTTATTATTATACTATCAGTATTATTATTATTATACTATCAGTCTGTAATACTTTACTTATTTTTGTTTTGGGGCAACATTTTGTTAGATCTTCCTCGAGACCTTCATCGAAGTAAGTGATCCTTTATTTTCCTCGATAAACTGTAGGTACAGGATTTGTTGAATATAAAACTAAAATAAAATAAAATATCAGTGCTTTTTTAATGTAAGGGATTTTTGTAGATTTCCGTCTGTGTTTGGTGCAGATAGAAAAGTTTGCCCACTTCGCTCAGAACGTTTGCAAAAGTGGATATTGGCACTAAAAAGAGAAGATTTTAATAACAAAAAGGCAAAATATGCACGCGTTTGTTCTAAACATTTTCAATCGGGTGGGTAATTTAAGTTAAACCTTTATCTATATAGTTCTTTCACTATCAGGTACCAAATGTATGCGTTTTATTTGATAGGTTTCTAAATTACTAAGTCTTAAAGGGTAACATTGGGGATAAACTGATGATTTTTTACAGGTGAGCCATCAGATCTGCATGAAAAAGATCATCCAGACTGGGTGCCTAATGTGAATATGGGTTACAAAAAAAATTATTTTTCGAAGTCGTTAAATCGATTCGAAAGAGCTAAAAACAGGTCAAAGGTATTTTAAACTGCATGAAAAATTGAGTGAAAAAGAATTAACATTTGGCTTGAAATGCTATTGCATATATTTAATACTAATACTTACAATGCTTTTATTTTTTTTTGTTGTAGGAGCAAAATGGACCATTACTTTAATGTGGATGTAAAACTAGGGTACATTACCAAGCTTTGCTTTTTTTTTCTAGAGGCCCAAAGGACATTATTTTGTTTGTTTTATATAATTATTAAGATTATTTCAGGCTGAAGCAGAAAACACAGAAACTGAACCTAATGACAATCAACCAGCAGTTCAGCATGAAGTTGCAAATTCAAATATTGCAAATACTGCAGAAAATCCAAGCACGGAAGATCTGTCCTTAGCCTTGAGAACGGCTAATAAAAAAATTTATAATTTGGAATCAAAACTGTCACTCTACATGCTGAATGAATCCTATTTTAAAAATAATGATGAGAGAGTAAACTATTACACAGGATTTCCTAAATTTGATTATCTTAAGAGTGTTTTTGATTTTATTCAACCATTTTTGTCCTCAAATAATGTGTTATCACAATTTCAGCAACTTATTCTTACCTTAATGAAGCTAAGGCTTAATTTACAGTTTACAGATTTAGGAAATAGATTTCTTTGCCACAGAACTACAGCTTCAAGAACGTTTGAAAATGTTTTAAATATTTTATTTGCCCGCTTAAAATGCTTTATAACATGGCCTTCAAGAGAGGATCTCCAACTTAATATGCCAAAATGCTTCAGGAATATTTTTGATAACAAGGTTACAGTGATAATAGATTGTTTTGAACTATTTGTCCAAAAGCCCTCAAATTTAGAAGCTTCTGCAAAATTATGGTCAAATTATAAACACCATCATACTATAAAATTTTTAATAGGCATATCACCACAAGGCACTATAATGTTCATTTCAAATGCTTATGGAGGCAGAGCAAGTGATAAATTTATAACAAAAGATTCGGGGTTTTTAAATAATTTAATTAGGGGGGATTTAATTTTAGCAGATAGGGGTTTTTCTATTGACGAAAGTGTACAGATATATTCTGCTAAAGTAATGTATCCAGCATTTTTAAAGGGAAAAAAACAGTTAGACGCCAATGACACAGAAACAACTAGAAAATTGGCAAGTGTCAGGATACATGTAGAAAGAGTGATAGGTCACCTTAAACGAAAATATAGAATATTGACAGAAGAATTTCCCTTAAGTTCTTTACGTAAAGGAAGCCCTGATGTGGCTCAAATAGATAAAATTGTTGTAGTTTGTTCAGCTATGCTCAATTTATGCCCATGCATAATCCCACTTTAATTTCTTTTTAATAAATAAATCTTTAATTCATTTCAAAAAGAAAACTCAAAGTCTTCCTCCACAGAATACTTTAATTAACTCTTAAAGAGCTCTATGTTCCAAAGCTAGAAAGCCTCATCATCAGGGGCAACATGTAGGGCTCTTTGAGAGTTAATTAAAGTATTTTGAGGAGGAAGGCTTGTGTTACTTTCATTTACTTTTCAGTTTTAAAATTATTTCCGACATAATAATTTGTTTATAGGCCACCAACAGGAAACAAAACATTTTTAAAAATATCCTATGTAACTGCGTTGATGCAAACAAAAAAAACAAAAAATATTAATTGCAGTCATTGCAGATGATTTTAATGTTCAATTCCTAAAGCCTAATGAAAACAGAACCATCTATCATCACCGTTGCCCTCTTTCAACTTAGAACAGACCATTTTTTAAAATACATACTAAGATCACTGCAAATATAGCTAGTTGGTATAGTTAATAGGCATTTTTATAAATTTTGAATGGGTAAGCTTAAATAGTTAAGTTATAGAAGCATTAGCTCTAATCATACTGCTTAAAAAATAATTTTAAATGATAAAATAAATTTGTATATAAAAGAATCTTCTCACTTAATAATAAAAATACATTTTTAGGGGCTCTAAAAAAAACAAGATTGGACAGGGGTATATACAATTGACATGTCTAATATCAATGGACAATGGCAAATGTCTACAAATGCTTCAATTAAATTGAATAGAAAAATAGCATTATTGTTTTATCAGGAGTAAAAGTGGTATTTTTGTGACGAGTCTGTAAGTTTGCTTGTGAAACAGAAGACTCACAGAAGTAACTTCTACTCCGAATAGAACCGATCCACCAACTATGTTACCAAATATTAATTTTTCTTATTTTATTAATAATCAAATTAAGAGAAATAATTAAAACTTTAAAAAAATGATTCTTTCTTTTTGGTGATAGTATTTTGTGTTAATTATTTTTATATAATATTGTTCGTAACACACTTGAAAATAAGGAATTTTGTATTGTATTGACTGACTAAATTAAAATATAGTACATAGACAAATACAAAAAATGTGGTTTTATTTCATTAAATATTTTAGTAAGGTATAAATAAATAAACAAACTTTTAAAATGTAAAAAAATCTATTCTGAATCAGAATAAGCCTTGCAAATGTCACAAATCCAAACTGAGCTGGGTATTTTTGACAAACCTACACACTTGAGATGATACCACTCTATTCTGCACATTTCTGCTTCACAGGCAATCATTGGAGTAACACCATCATCTTCTTCCCTACAGATGCAATATAATTTCTTGCAGGGTCCTGGTTCTGGAGAAGTTTCTTTCTCCTTTGGAACATTACTTGGTCCAGGCTTTGGTGATGACACTTCTTCTACATTTTCGCTTGTAAAAACTAGTTCTTCGTATAAATCGATGTCAAGAGACTCCTCAGGAGACTCCTCTATTTCTTCTTCTGGAAATTCTGCCAAAACATTGGTTTGCCTGCTATAATACCTGCCTAGACATTCTGGCAAGATTATATCGAAAAAAAATTGTTTTGCAATATCACTATTGTCGGTCCAAAAACTGGAATTAAAAACAATTTTACAGTATGCAAAGTCTTTTCTGCACCATCCTACCAAATAGGAATATTTCAATTTTGTTATGGCCATTTGCATTTGCACTTGATAATAATAATCATGGTCTTTTTTAATTTGCAATTCACCATTCACTTCCTTTAAAAAGGAATATTTGTTCTGGGTTAAATCCAATATACTTTTGAACTGGACACAGTAGGGGCATTTTATTTCCAAGACACCGACACCACAACAACTACAAGAAACTATGCCATCTGGAGTAGCACCAAAAAACCATAGTTCAGGATCTATGTAGAGACCACATTTCCTA